TAGAACAGGCTGTACTAGGTTATCCTACCCCGTAAAATTTGGGCAAAATCTGATCTTTTCAGTGCCTACTGGAATCCCACCTTGTACAAATGTATTGATCAAGTCACACACTACTCTCACCAGATACTTGCTTTCTTGTCTTCAGCTCCCAGCAGCACTACAAGTTTTTATTTATATATAGTCACTTCTGTGCATTTCTGTTCATGCTACTTCTGTGCTTTTAACTGCACCCACAGTTTCACATGTACTCTTCAAGATCTCGATCGTTTCCTTTCAGGATTCCAAACAAGACCCACTGCAATTAAAATTTAGACTGCAGGCAGCATGACTGGCCCTCCCCGTAACTATACATGCAACTCCACCAACAATGAAAATATCAGTCCTTCACCACCAGAAGATCCAGAATGTTTTTACCCTTGGAATGAGGTGACTTCTAGGAGGATGTGACGTTTGTTTGGGATTTGGGGTTTGTTTGTTTTTTCCTGTAGTGGACACAGGAAGCCACGGAGTGATGAGTCCAAGGGAAGGTTCTAGATAGAAGGGAAGAGAGCAAGTAAGCATGTGCAAGTAGCAACTTTAGGAATTTAGTATTAGATAATCAGGATGACAGTGAAATTCTACATGCCATGTTGGCAGAAAGAGACACTGCTGTTTTCACTTGACACTCATTTCCCGTATCCCTCCTTGTCTGGTCCTTCAGTAAACCTGTCTGGGAAATTTGCCATTTCCTTTTTTAGTATCATCAGCAATATATGGAACACTCTTTTCCCCTCTGATGGCACTATTTCCTATTAAGCTTGTATGCGATCTATAGCTACCTTGATATTGTCCTTACAGACATCCATATAACAGTAGTGTCCTGCATGGATTGTCATGACCTGATCCTGTTCCAGATGTGCAGCATTTCACACATTCATTTATAAAATGAATCCATGGCTCTATTCTCCTGGCTGGAGTCCTATGTCACCAGTTATTCTTTTCATAGGGTTTGCAGAAAGGAGGTGGAAGATGCACCTTTATTCATAGTATCATAGTGGGGTCCCTCCAGGCTTGGCAATCTGGTGACTGTGGCAAACAGAAAATCTGATCTCTTTAACTAAGTCAGAACATCTTGCTATTAAAGTTTTAAAAAAGTTTTTGTGGCCCTATTTCACCATTGGGTGAAATATTTTGATGCCCAACCGAGAGATTAATTCTCCTTATGCTTTCCTCCTAACATATGTGAATATTGTTGGATTATCGACTGATGCTTCAACACACAGAGGAAATTAAGACACCCAGTTGCACTTGCTAAATATTTTAAGAGTGTCCAGATTAAACTACTCCTACAGGTACAGCCACGGTGCATAGACATCAAACCTGGCTTGGTTTTTTGTTGCTTCTATGTTGTCTGCTTATTAAAAAAAACAAACAAACAAAACTCCTGTTAACCGCTTACTTCAAATCTAGTTTCAAATGCTGTAACATTTGCTGCCATGCTAGCCTTTGATTTCTTTAATAGGTCTCCTTACTGTGGGGGGGGGGGGGGGAAAGAGGAGGTTGCCATTCTTGAACTATCAAGCCCTTGCTCATTGACTGGTCTGTCGTAAAGGTCCACATACTAGAATAGGCAATGTAAATGCAAGGTGGGAGACTTAATTTGCTCTATTTAACTTATTCAACTCCTATTTTTAATGTGTGGTACCCATAGTTCTATGCTGTTGGGTACTGGCACTAGGATTAAATGTGTTCTGACAACTGCTTTCGCACACGTAAAAAAAGTGTGATTAACATATTCTTTAATATTTGATTTCAAAGACACTGTCTGGTTACTATAACACGTTATGCAAAAGGCAACTTTTTTCCCCCCCACATGACTTTCATGGTTTCTCTTAGTGCATTTCATGCCACAAATGCCTATTACTAAGCTGTTCCTTATTGTTAGCAAAGATCACAGCGAGGATAAGCTGCAGCATATTCCTAATTATTATTATTATGCAGATTTCTTTTTTTTGTTGTTGCTTCAAGCATTACTTGCACATACTTGAAAGTTTGATCCCTACACAACCCATTACCAATTTTATGCAGGTAATAGCACTGCCTCAAAACACAAATAATTAATTTGGGCTATGTTGCATGCTGTACCATCGTTGTATACTAGATTTCTGAGTGCAAGTGTGAACTGAAAAGGAAGATTTAACGAGATGCAGGAGAAGCTTCTTTTGTTTAGAAGAAAAAAAAAAATTAAAAAACCTTAAAAAGCAGCACACCACGTGTGGTCCAATAAAAACCCACAAAAAAAAGCCAGCCAGCCAAACATGTCTTATTCACAGGAAGGTTACAAGAGGAGCCTTATGCCTCTAATAAAGTAAACTCAACTTTACTTAAGTAAATTTAACTTAAGACTGCCAAAAAAAAAAAAAAAATAACTGAGCACCTTTGAGCACTGAGCTGCTTCAAAGCCTTTGAAATCCAGTCAGCTTAATTTGTTTTTTCTAGCATAAGCAATACTCAGCCACTTAGTCCCAGCCATCTGCAAGGTTGATCCAGAAGATGTCTAACAGATGCTTCGGACCTACTTCATTTTAAGTTCTAATATGGTTACAAGAAAACTGATGAGAATCAATACAAAACTGAAATTTCTAGTTCAAAATATCAGGATTCCAACTCAACTATTACAGCATTGCTAAGAATGCACATGCATGTTATACCTGTAACAAGTGACATGATGATTTTTCTATTCAGAGACAAGACTTCATGAATGATCATAAAAAACACAGAAGAATCAGATAAAGCTTGATGGAGGGGTTGTGTGCGTGTGTGTGTAAAGCAGCAGAAAAATCGTGGTGAAAAATTCCACACACATTTTATCCACCACACCAAGCATGTCAAGCTGAGGTTGGAGTGCTTGCATGCCACTCCATAAATAAGTCTAAGTAGCTTGGTGCTTGCAAACAAGCTGAAGTGAACTGATCATGTAAAATAAATTATATTGAGTGATGGCAGTCCTCCAAATACATGAGAAAAGGCAATGCAAACAAAGCTGAAGCTAAAAATGTAGACCATAATTTTAGATATTGTTTTCAATGTTGAGAGACTTCACCATGACAATTACCCAACCGTCTGGTTCAAAGTCACTGAGAGGCTGTTTTCTTTGCTTTTTTAATATTAACAAACAAACAAAACAAACTTTCCCTCTTCTAGTTGTTTCTCCAGTAGATTAACTTCATTTTGACGCCAGAAGCTAGACACTGGGGGTGACGGGGAATCATCCCCTTTCAGCTTATTTGAACTGGTTGGGTTTCTGTATTATTAGTGTTACATGATTAATATCAATTTTGACAGGAAAAAAAAATAAGGCATTTTGAATTACAAATGGTATGTGTTTAAAAAAAAAAAAGCGCACAACACATGTAACGCACACCCAAGTAATAAAAAAAATGCTGCCAAAGTGTTAAACAACATAGGGTTCCACATAGAACAGAGAAAACCTGAATGGCTCTCTCTGTCCGTAGACATGAAGAAATTCAGCACTTCTCTGCCTCCAAATGACAGCTGCCTGTGTCTAACTTTCCAGCTGTTCAAGACCTGTCCACATAGATTAACATGCTAAAAGCTATCAGAATGTACACTACCTAGCAGCAGATAGTAGTGGAGAGAACAATTAAGTTACCCATTTATAAAGTGAATAAGAGAGAAAAATTAGTGACTAACATCTATCTAAAGCGAGTTTGGCATTTTGAAAGTCAAATATGGACTTTGTTGGTATCTCTTCAATTAAAACACATAAGTACCTCCAAAATGCTGTTAGAAGCAGTGAAACTTGTAGGGAAGTCTGACTGACTAAAGGGAAAGCTTAAGAAGCATCCCACCATGCTTTCAAGGTATGAACTATTACATCTTAGATTCAAAGAGCTTGTTCTATGTACTGCATGAAATGTATGTCTAAATACAAGTTCTCCTTTTTGCAGGCACATCAGGACTAGTTCAGCGGGAGGTTGCACAAGACCTGCCAAACAATATCATCTTGTCTGAAAACTTGTGATCAACCTTACCACAGTCTTCCTAGAAACTACCACTCACAGAGCAGTTCTGTCATCTGGCCAAGAGCAAGTGGCATTCAGATGAGGATCATGAGTCTCTCTCTACCTTGTTCTAATTACTAAGAGACACTGCCTTAATATGATCAAGGACTCTAAAATTGTCCCACCGATTCCTTTTCTTTTATAAAGGACCAGTTAGCTTTAAAAAAAAAAAAAAAAAAAAAAAAAAAAAAAAAAAAAAAAAAAAAAAAAAAAAAAAAAGAATAAGAAGCACATGCCAGGTCCTAAACTTAGTCAAGTTGCCCTTCAGCTTCTTCTATTAGAAGATTCCCTCCCTACTGAATCACACCTCTCCCAGTTCGAGAGGAGTAAATTCTCACAATAAGCCAATGCTTCCTTGCCAGAGCAGTTTAGCGGGCCTATTAGCTTATTGTCATTATGTTTATAGCTATGAAGAAGAGCAGTAAACGGGAGATATTAAACACGTAAATTAAAAAGACCCAGATGGCATGCAGTGGGAAGAGAAGTCTCCAAATTAGATTTACAAAGCTACCAAAACAAGTGGGCAGAAATGGACCACAAAGAAGAACTGTTTTGTCATTCACAGAGAAGAAAAATCCAAATGGAATTAATATACGTATACATATCAGCTCATGCCATGTCCTTCAACAGAGAACCCTGAAGTAAACCCTTCTAGACTGGTTCACTTTTCAGTTTTCAGCAATGCTTGGGGGGGGGGGGGGGGG